GACTTGTCACAGCCTCGTGTACCGATGGCTCGACGTACGTTTGGGACCAACGTCAGCCTCAAAAGCCATTACATACGCTGGCTCATGGTCAACCCATGATGCAGCTTCGCCCTGATCAAGACCGTGAACTTGAAGATGTGGGGGTCAGATACATCGAGTGGAGTCATAATACTGGACAATTGTACACGGGGTCTAGTGACGGCTTCCTGAAGCATTGGGACACACGCCGCTCGCCGGCCGATGTCCTACTCGAGGACCTTGTGGATACCGGTCGTGGAATCCTGTGTGGACGTCTTTCGCCCGATCATTCATCCTTGCTGCTCGGGGACGAAGACGGGCGTCTGCATCTACTTAGCTCGTCGAATGGTCCATCTCCAGAGGAGCAGTTTTGTTTCCGAGTGGCCGAACGATGGAACATTGACAACTAGGGACTGCTCTTACGGAAGGATGAAAAGTGATCAATGAAGAGACCGGTCGGAAGCGAAGACTGATGAATGTGTAGGACAATAGTGACAGGGACAGGAACGGCGAGGTTGGGGGATTTATATTGACCAGAATAGAGTCCTTGAGGCTGCGAACTACGCTTATTGCCCCTGGCCAGAATTGCGGTATCTCTCATCTAGTTATAGCTTCAGCAGAAATCGTAGTGGTGTTTGACCTGGTAGACCGATCGAGTCGCAACGATCAAGTCCTTCTGGGAAGAAAGCACGAGATCATCCACCTTGATAGGATGTCTTGCAGAAGTAGACTCGCGGCATAGAAAGTGTCCCGAGGTCACCAAAGGAGACAACAAAGAGAAACAACGTCTTGGTCGGCCACATATGCTTCCGGTTCGTCATCTTCAACACCGGCATCTCCTACGACATGGCCCAAGAACCCGCGCTGACTGCCGCACGCGTAGTTCTTGGAGTTTCGAGGGTGTCTTGCAGGTGCAACAGGAGATATGTATCCCGTCTTGAGCATTGTCCACATCACGTCTTCCTTTCTCTTTCAAGCTCTAGGTTCGCCCATTCGTGTGGTTCGTCGCCAGTAGCTTTTCGAACCAACGAGCGGATCGGCCTTTTCGTCCTGGCAGAGGCTCCCCCGTCCTTTATCCTCCTCCACTGGAATAAGTAGAAAATACCGTGTTGGCGAGATTCCACCGTACACATCTCGTCCTGGTCCCATTTCTCCTCTTCCCTGGCCAACCGCGTCCTGCACGGAGGAAGCCGTTCGTCTGAATGCTCCTGGAGTTTCGTTTGTTATCGGGGCCGGTTACGATAGATTTCTGGAAGAAGGGAGGGTGCATCCTATACATTCTTCGTTTCGTCTGTCAGTGGAATCGAGATGACATGAAGTTGTCGCAAGAAGATCGAAGTGTCCTGTTCTCTGAAGTCTTGACTGGGAAGTGGAACCCGTACACTCAAAACCCTTCCTTTGAGCGGGCATCTTTGTTGACATTCTTCTTTGAGTGCAGCAACCTTCGACCACGCTCTGGAGAAGACAGACACACACTTCGCGTCAGGGTGTCCATCCCATTGCGGGTTATTGTGGGTTATTGTTGCGCCTGGAACAGTTGCTGTTCCAGAAGCGCTTCAGGCGTTACCTGATTGCGCCTAGTGCCAGGAGGCGTTGCGGCGCCGCAGGACTCAGGAGAGGTCTTCCTGCAAATCTAACCTCATGATGCGAGCTCAACTTTCTCCATCCTTCCATATTCGCATAGTTGATTAATCAACCTCCTCAGAATGCTAGAGCCATGAAAGTGTGGAAGCGCACTCATAATGACACTATCTCAACCCTATCTCGCCTTCTTGTGGGTGATGTCCTAAGTTTCCCGGGTTCCCGTCTCCTTTTACGTTAGAGTTCTTCTAGCTTCATTTTCATATCAGAGAAAGAGCAGCGCGTCTCGGTTATGACTTTGCCATGCCCTGGTATGACAACCTGTGCCAAAAGCCCGTCTGACTCCAGATTGAGCTTCACTTGGTACTCACAGACGTTGAACTTGAGTTCACCGCTATGACGATCCTCAGAGTAGTGACAACTGATAATGTGCTCTTGTGGGATTTGCTCCGTCGGAAGGTTCAGGGTCAATATCACCGGGGCTGCATTTTGGAGTCAGCCTAGAGGGGGGCCGACGCGGGTGAAGGGTCATACTTACCCTGGTATAGGACATTAGGATCCTCTTTTGCAGCATAGAGGAGTTCTTTTGTGAACCGCCGAATCAAGATGTTCTCAGGCCACGTCGGATGGTCGCGAACGGAGGCGGTTTCTCGGCCGGGTCGGAAGTAGGACCGCCCCACGTAGAGTTCACTTTCCTGTCTGTTTGTCAGTCGTCGTGTAGGCGGAGGTAAGGATACCACTCACGGGTGGAATGATCAAGGCCGCAGTTGCGCCCTCGTAGATTTCCAGGTCAATGTTACGCTCCGCTCCCGGCTGACTATTTGGTCACATAGTCAGCACCGACCTAGACACGTCCCAGAAACCGGCCTCTTACCCTTCCTGTGTTTCCTCCCAACCAACATAACCATACCCGTGACGCGCCCTATGCTGGCTCGATCCCTCTTTTGCGTCCGCCAGTAGGTGCCTCAACCCTTCCACCAGGCCCGTCCGAGGCTTCTCGGAGCGTTTCCAAACCTCGGGGAACATCTCCTTCAGCTTGTCGCAGAGTCGGACGGAGTGAGACTGGCCTCCGCTCGAGACGAAGCTTATTTTGCACTTTTCAAAAGCCTCCGATATCCGATATGTCTCCCGTTGCTCGTCGGACATCCTGTCCCCGTGGAGGGAATCCCATATGTTGTCACACTGAAGGCGATATTGCTCCTTCCGCTTTTCGAATTCTTCCATGCCCAATTTATACTCTTCGTGTAAGTACTCGACGATCTTATCCAAGACGCCATCCATCACAACGCTCTCGAATTGGTCGCTGAAGTCGCCCTCGAGAACGAAGCCGTCTGGTAGCGAGTTCTTCAAGAGCGAACCCACCACCCAGTTCGTCGGCGATTTGGTTTTGAGCACGTTGGCCCACAGCGTCATGAAGGCCTCCAACTCTGCTGGCGTGATGTCTGAAAACTGAGTTTGAATGAATTCTTTATATTGAGCTTCGATATGTTCCCCGCCCATGTCTAGATATCTCGGCGCATAGATCTCCTCGCTGTAGACAAGGCCCTTGTCGACGATAACGAGCATCATGTAAAAGTCGGTCGTCCCGCCGCCCCCGTCGTGGACGGCGAGTAGATAGCTTCCCGGATCTTTGATCTCGGCGATGCAGTTTCGCGCCACCGCCAGACTTTCAGGGTAGATGTCGATCGAAGTGACCGCGAATCCGACCGCCTCGCTGGCGCGGCGGAGACACTCATCGTACCTCTCCCGAGCGACCTGGTCGCACTGAGACGGCAGGGCTGCAGCCACCCGCAAGTTACAGGTTTCGCTGTCGTGAAGGAAGCCTTCTTTTCTGAGTTGCTTCAAAAGCCCTTCGAATATCTTCTCTAAGAAGTGCGAAATCATGTCGTCTTCAGTCAAGCCTTTTGTCAGAGGAAGCAGTCTGTTGACTAGGTCTTCCGCTTCTTTTCGTATGGTCGAGGAGTCGTCCGACGTGAGGAGGAGTTTGAACCAGCGAAGAACATTTTCGCCCCCGAGGAGGACCTCGTGCCCGTACCGCTTGACCTTGCCAGACGCGTCGTACTGCAAGAGGGAAGGAACCATCGGGGCATGTTCGAGGGTGTCGGGCATGTCGGCGAACTCGGAGACGAGGATTAGGCGCTACTGACTGTCAATCGGACTCTAAAAACACAGGTAATAACGCGTACCTCATTAGATATCACGGCTACGATCGAATTGCTTGTCCCAAAGTCGATCACGACCGTGATTTCTTTCGGCTTTGGTGTCCTCTCCCCGTGTTGTTCCGTCTCGAGCTCTGAAGATTCGTCGTCTGGTTGGACTGCCCCCTGCCGCGGAGATCCGTTGCGTTGTTCCATCTCCAACGGCGGAGATCCATCGTCTTCTCGATCCGCCTCGGGCAGCAAATGTGCGTCGTCTCGTTGTGCCGCCTTGGGCAACGGGGGTTTGAACCTAGTTCTTCTACCTTCATTGGCCTCTTTCCTTCTTTTCTTTCCCCAGGCCATGGGGCCAGACGCCGTCGAGCGTACGATATTGAATGGATTAGGATCAGTTCTTTTGCTCACCAACCGCAGATGACTTACGAAATGGAGCGCGAACATACCCTGTGTTTCCGCGGTGTGGACGCGCTAGATCAAGACGCGCTAACGGATGCAGCTACGCCGCCCAACCATTTCCGGTATAGTACCACTTATCTCCCTTGAGCTTCTACGAGACTCCATGACCGCGTTGGCCGAGATCGGTGGGCCCTTAAAAGATTACCCGACTAGACTTAGGAGCGAAAAGACAAGGTCTGGCGCTCAGATTTAACCAGACCATTCTCAAAGACATTTTATATGTGTCCAGCCATTCTCTCTTCTTCATCTCTCTCGTTGGTTGTGCTAGACGTCGTCGAAGTTGAGCAACCTCGTCATCGATTTTTGGGTTCACTCGGCATACGTATTATTATTGAACCGTAGTGTAGTGTAGGCGCTGCATTTTCCTACATATATTTACGCGTATTGCAATGCAGTCCTTATCGTTATCGGCTTCATGCTTGCGCGTAGTGCATCGACAACTACGGACACGCTAACCAGTGATCGATAAGGGTTCGCGTAGTGCAATGCAGCGCGCGTGTACCTCTGACTAGAATGGAGACAACATTGACTTTCAGACGTCTATATCGCAGGCATGCTTTCCATATTCATGGTCATTAGACTGGCTGACAGATCTTGGGTTGATTGCGAGTCAGCCAGAGCAGGTTCTCATCTGTCAACACTGCAAAATTGCCCTCAACATTTCCGAGAGCCGCACGTTCAAACACCTATCTCAGAAGCACAACATTGGGGGCCACCTTGAGATTCAGCTTACTTGATATCTTCGCTCTTTGTCTTTAAAGAACCCGCTTAACGTTCCTCTACGAGAAGATGGATCAAGCCCTCATCCGCATCTGGCTATTCGGCAAGGACATGCCTGTCAAGCATGTGGCTTTCGGACATCCAATCGTGACACATATCGAAGGCATTTGTTCAAAGATCCACAACTTTCGCCCTGGCTCCCATAATCAGGGTAATACTGCCTATCTACAATCCTGGACCCAAGGTGGACCGGGAGAACGACCATGGTGGATCGTCCGCGCTGACTTAGTGAGCCCCGAGCAAGTCAAAGCACCTAGCGGCACCGGTACCGAACAGTGTGATTGTCTTCAACAGCTTCGCCAGCAAGAGCAGAGTCGAATCGAACGCGTAGCCCTCTCGAATACCGAGGACCTCGTCGACTCTAGTGACCCAAATTCGCTTCAAGACAGCCCATGGATCGAACGTACCGGGTGGAAGAAAGCATACCACGGAATCCGCCGAGATATTCTTATCGCTTTGACTCAATTGCCAGACCAATATAGTAGCGTACATGGACTTTCACTTGGACTGTTTTCCGATGGAGAAGGAAAATGCAAAGTCAACGCACGGCCTATGGGGCCAGGTCACGGGGTAATTGAAAGCTATTGTATCGATGAACGCCCCTCCTTTGTTTATTGATCACAGCAGTCCTTCCGATCGGACCATAGTTTCAAGGGTTGTGACCGTGCCACCATCTGACAGGTTTCGGCATCATATTGTCGTACCAGATCATCACGTCCCAAGGTGTAGATTGTACTAGTTGGGCCATGTGCAGCGATTGCTATCACTCCGTCGCCGGTCTGGATTTGCTCACCAGTAACGCGCCGCTTGCGAACGTCCCAAACCATCACTCGATCTTCGCAGAATTGTGATATTTTACCCTTCTTGGACCATGCTATCAATATCTGACCTGGGCCTTCCGTGATCGACCCGGAGACCTGGCGGGTGGACCAAGCCGCTTGGGTTGTTGCTGACTTTGACACGCGCGGGATGCTGAGAATGCTGAGTTTGCCACCGGCCAGCTGAAATGCAAGTCTGTCCTTTTTGTTTTTCCGAGACGTAGGATGCCACGCTAGGGAGACGGGGGGACTAGACGTTTCCACGACATGAAGGTAGATGGAGGATCCTCGCAACTCGGCCAGCACGATAGAACCTGTCTTGTACCTGGTGTGGGATCAGCTTGGCGTGATACTGCCGCATGAAGCATGAAGGACACTCACGCAACGGCGCACTTTCGGCTATCAGGCGAGGCCGCTATTGCCGTGATAGAACCTTTTCTGGTATTGATGATTTTGGATTTCCTCGTGGATGGTTCGAAGAGAATGATATCACCACTTCTATTCCCTGAGGAGTGTCAACACTGAAGTTGAGGGTAAATGGCTGGAACATAGGGGACATACCGAATATGATGCCGTCGTTCATCATCCAATGGCCGACCTGCACAGACACCGAGAATTCGTACTGCAGAATAGCCTTGCCGGTAAGCAAGTTCCACAAGATGCCGATCCGCCCCACATCACAGCTGAACGCCCGCTCGGAAACGGAGCCGTCGGTCAATATGAGTTCAATGTTGTTGTGATGCTCGTTGAGGTGTCTTTTGACCGACAGCGTATCACGGTGCACACAGACTATCGTCGAACATGGTGCAAAAAGCAGGTAGGAAGCCGATACGGCGGAGGGGCTGGGCCGTGGAGAGACGGTGGGTTTCGCCGTGGAATCTTCATCGCCATAGAGAGAGTCACCGTCCGATGACGAATCTTCATAGCTAGAGTCAGGGCTGAGGCTGGAGAGAGTCTCGCAGTCCGACGACGAATCTTCATCGCCATCGAGAGAGTCACCGTCCGATGACGGATCATAGCTAGAGTCAGGGCCGAGGCTGGAGAGAGTCTCGCGGCCCGACGACGAATCTTCCTCGCTATGGAAAGAGTCGAGGCTAGAGAGAGTCTTGCGGTCCTCTGATAGAGGGAATTGGGAACTCTGGCTTCGGGCGGTCATTCTCTCTAGCAGGTAGGACATTTCGCAGCAAGGTAGGATTCTCTAAGAGGCTTCGTCAGATGTAACGGAGGGACTCAAAGAGAGGGAGGGCAGTGACCTGCCGTGGCTAACAGACCGTTAATAAAAGTCTCGAGGGCGGTACTGGAGACAATGTTAATTCCCTCGTTACGATTCGGTGACTCGGCATATGGTCGTCATCGGACCAGAACCCTGACTGGTGAAGGCCAGTTATGTGCGACAAAGGATCGCGGATTGTTCCAGGGCGTGAACCGACTAGGGTGAATCCGTCTTAGCCTACCCAGTATCTGCTCGTTGCTCTCAGGACGAAACCTGAACTGAGAGGGGATATTCTCCATGTTGGGGAAGGGTTCGAGCCATGGAGAAAGGTTAATGATATCTAGATGCTGTGACTTGTGACGATGTCCTCGGTAATGCGAAGTGGTTGGCTCTCGATCGAGAATGTAGAACGCGTGAAGTGCCGCTTTTGGGGGCAATTTAGCGAGACGCTCCGGGCATGTCTCCGATTTTCGGCCAACGATTGGCCAATTTCTTGGGCGCTGTCTTGGAACACTTAGAAACGTGATGGCCTGTTGTCCTGCGCTTAGCTTGGCAGTTCCTCAGCCCCAGTTGGCGGGACCTCGGATCACGGTTCACAACTTCACAGATCACACTTCTGGCAGCAAAAGGGATCGAGAAGATCACCTACCGTACGTGATTTAGTCCCACTTGTTAATCGCTCCACCTGTCCCTAGGGTGAATTTTATGTTCGCAATTCATTTTGCTGACTTGTGCACCAAGCCCTATCACGTCGCATTACGGAAGAAGAGAAGGGGGGGTGGGAGCGTATCCAAGTTGCAGACACCAGTACGACCCGACGAACTCACCTCTACGCGCAAGGTGTTCCCAACGACCCGTGGTGCTGGCGCCGCAAGTGCGACGGTTGAAGAAAAGAGAGCAGGACTTGCCGTGTAGGGGCGCTTGCACTGGCTACAAGCAGTGGTTAACACCTCTCCCAGGCAATTCCAGTCTCTTCCCGTGTCGGACCCAAAAAGACTCTATATCATCTCCATTGCGAAGCTTTGAGCGACACGCGGCTGGTTTTCAGCTCAAGAGTCAGCTGGATAGCCCGCGAATCATTCTTACGGGCGGCCATATTAACACCTGAATGTCTATCTTCGAGACGTCGTAGGGCGATTAGAATTGACTGATTGCGTGGCTCGTCCTCTCCACCGACTGCACAGTGAGCAACCACTCCGAGAAAGGCATATATGCAACCGGGTGCAGTCCAGATATCGAAGCTAATATGGATCTTAGATAGCGCCTGCTTCAGCTTAATCTTCACTATCTGCTTTGCAAAGTTGTGGTCGCGACGTACCCAGCGTCGAATAGTCGTCCTCGAGACTAAATATGGCTCGATAAGTGGGTTTGTTGATAGCATTAACCTCTTGAAGCCGGGGGTATCGATCTTTGAAAAGGCTATATGGTCTTCGACGCACCATCGTACGAGATTTTGCCGCCACTCATGAGTCTTAGGGGAGTAGTATAACTGCTTCTGGCCTAGTTTTATCTGCCCTGTAGAACTGTCTGTCGTTGGTGTAGTGGCGCTATAAGTACTGCTCTGTGGTTGTGGTACCATCTGATGGGCAGAAAAGAGATGTTGTTGCATATTTGACGCTTGCTGTTTATGCAGTTTAACCATCTCCTTGCAGTGGTTGCATCGAATTGCACTCACGATATCTGGCTCACTAGGCCATCCATACGTCTGGCCATGCTCCCAAACCCACGAAGGCTTTTGTGACCCACGCTGACGGGGTTCACGACGTTCACGCTTTATGTATCTCACCCCTTTAACAATCTCTTCGTTAGGGTGTGGAGGCAGGAGGGAATCAACAACAATATTACAATTGCCGTCCATAGTAGGTTGCGAGGCGCCAGACATCTTTGTTCTTCCAAAATTGCTTGTTGTATTGAGATTTACAGCTGTCTGAAGAGACAAATGCTCTACACCGCTACTTGGATACTTGGGAGCTTCGCGGCTGACTAAGCTACTCGCGAGTGGCACTCGCGATTGTTGGGTATGGCCACTCGCGAGTGACGAGTGACAAGTGGTCACGATTGCTACTCGCGAGTGTGCAGCACTGTCCCAGACGCCTTACTCTTGAATAGGTCGATAAGGACTCTTTTCGCCTCGGTCCGAGAGATGGAGCTCTCCCCTCTGTGTAAGGGGCTCACGAAGAAAGACCGAAAAGGGTATTCATTTCCTGATGATGAGGAATTGTTCCGAAGCACCTACCATCTCGACGAAGAGCTGCGTCATTCACTTTCAAGCCTTGAAAAGAAGTTTCGAGGTCTACAATTGAAAAATGGAGGCAAGAGCGAGGTTCGGAGTTGATCAGATCTCTGTATCGGACAACGACAAGTCAGTATTGAAAAGATGTTGGGATTGCTCTAGTTTCTCATTCTCATTGAGCATCACACGGCCGGCTGCGGCGTTTGGCGAGGATGGCCTGGCATGACGTTAGTAATGTTATCGGGAGGCATAGTAGGACAGAGTTCGAAGCCTGTTTTCCCTTTCGGTCGCTTCTTTGCCGGTCCTGGAAAAGATGTATCCCTACGACAGAAGAATTTGTGGCTCAACGCAACACAGCTCGTGAACATAGCTGGCAAGGACGTGAATCAACGTGGAGGAATATTGAGAAAGCTTGCTCAAAGCACGGAGGTTGAGATATAAGTCTTCAATGGTAATCGATCATCGCGGGTTCAGTTTGAAGTCGGCGCTAGCCTCTGTCAAGAGCTAGAGATAGTAGAGAGCTTCATACCCCTCCTCAAATAATGGAGGCTCAAACGACAACATGGTACGAGTCTGGGATCTTGCTAGCTCGATGGCAGATTGCGCTCCGGGAGGTAGAGTAAGCGGACCAAGGTAGGCGGTCCTAGGTATGCGGTCCCGGGTACGCGAAAACTACGTGCCTCTATATTTGAAAGCCCCATGTAATTTCAGTCTTAATTTCTTCCTGTGGATCTGGTCTCTTTGATACAAAATGCTGGGAGCTGTTGTGATATGTAGCCATCAAGATATCTGCGTACATCTTCATCACTTGCATACAGGCGGCGGAAGCTGATTGGCATCAGGCGTTGGGCACGATAACGGGATACTCGTTGGTGGCGCCGGCGGCAGAGGAGACGATCTCCATCCACCCTCTCGTACAGGAGTCGGTGCGATATTGGTTGGAGCAGCAGAAGGAGAAGGAGTCGAATGTGGAGCAAGCGGTTAAGGGTGCTGGCTGCCAGCTTTCCCAGTGGGGACTATAGCAACTGGCCGGTGTGCCAGACGCTGTTCCCTCACGCGCAGACAGCACTGCTTCACCAAGGCCAAGGTGTTCTCACGAGTGAAAGCCGAGGACGTCTCCAGTATCATGTTTCGTGGTTCTTATGGTTGTCGGGGCATTGGCAGCTCGACCAGCGCATTGAATACTAATCTATATCAGGTGAAGCGGCCCCCGCACCTGCCTTTGCTGCCTGGCCTTGCCGAGGTATCCGTGCGGCTGAGTCAGCACCGGTCGGCCCAATTTATTTGACTCGGTCTGATACCTGTAAACCAAGGACTTAATCGTAGAGGCACAGTCTGAGGTCCGTTCACTCAACTCTAGCTAATCCATATTGTTCAAGTACTGTACGATCGGAATGGAGCATTCGCAGATATCTGAAACTCATTTACGATGTGAAGCTTGGAGGAATGCGGTGTCCGAGCCTGAAGCTAAGTGCCTGAAACAAAATTGCGCATCAGAATCCGATGGACTTCAATCATACTGCCACAAACGTACGTTACGCCAATTTTTTGAGGATGACGGTGACCGTGCAATAGACTCTTGCCATATATGTCACGAATTCGAACCTATCGTCCAGCTTTACAATGAGCAGAGATTCTGCAGCAAATGTACGCGTACCCAATGATAGATTGATGTGACTTATCAGAACATAGGTGATCGAGAGGCGTTTAAGTGATTTCTAATATTTCGCGTTCATACCAATCCTCCATCTCCAGAGCTCGCAAAGAGGCATGAAACCATTTCGACAAGAATCTGTCGCTTTCAATTGTTTTGCAGCAATTCGCCGGTTGCCTGGCTTAGCTTCTTATGTGCTCGGAGTCCGGATGGCTGGCGAGCCAGTGGACGAAGCCGCCATTCACGCGTGAGGAAAGAGGGAGGTAGCGCGCTGAACATACAGTAATGTATTGTCGCTTGCTCAAAGACAAAGATTCATCGTACGCATGAAAGCGGATCCTGGATGCCGACTGGAACAGGTGCAACAAGCAATGATTTGTGGCAGCATTTTTATGGGATCTTGCAGAGTTCAGTCCACCTCAACTGCTCGATCAATATCCGGGATATGTCGGGATATTAGCTTTTCTGAATTGCGATATCATTCAAGAGTATCTCAGTGCGATCAATCTGGGGTTGGGTCATCTCTCTACGTTGACGAGCGTGAGCAATCTGGCGTTGGTGCTCATACATGGGCACATGGTTAAATATGATTATCTTGGGGGTCGTAACCATAACCATAAATAACCATGAGGTCGTAACCATAACGTGTTATAACCATATAACCATATTATAACCATGACCTAATCGACGGCAATATTCGCTCTAGACCCACTCAATATCATCCAAAATCTCGTCGTCTAGCTCCTCATCTTCATCCGCCACCATGGCCTCCATCGCCAGACCCATCCCATTAAGGTTGGAAAGCCGGATATGGCCCTCTCGTATCCAGCTGCCGATACATTCAATTCTTTGGATGTTGAGACTCGATAGTCTTAATCGATCCCACGAGCAGGTCCTTCTGGACCCCGAAAACGCCCTCTCCGGCTCCGCCGACTCGGCCGGGATCGACAATATTGACATAGCCATCCTGGAGAGCCGTGGTCGGCGCGATTGCTGCTCGGCACGACACCACCACTCAAGGGGGCTGCAATCAATGCGGAAGGGAGGTGACTCCACAAAGGTCTTGAAGTCATCGTCGTCCCGAATTCCCCAAGGGATATGGGCTTTATATATTACTTCTCCCCAAGGAACCTGACAGCACTCTCGAGTACTCAGTCTGGGAATTTCTTGGTCCTCCTCTCGATGAGTTGGCGGAGAAATCCACGAAACCTGAGATGTCGTCCGGGACGGGAAACGATTCTCGGAATGTACAGCAAGCCGTGCATTACCTCTATGCGCAAGGCTGGATCCGCCGATGGAGCCAAATGCAGACAACCTGCCACCGCGGAGAGACATCTAAAAGACCTCTGGGTCAATTACAAAGATGTACCGTTACCGGAACAGTCACGTCGGCATCCGCCTGACGATGATATTCTCGACGACGTACTCAATCCTAACACCCGACCTTCCGTGGAAGATCTGTTTGGCTCAATGGAACATTTGCATAGCAGCCCGGCCGCAGCCACCACCGCCGGATGATGGCACTTGAACCTCGGCATCCGACGCGTTTAATCGGGTAGGTCCGCCGTTGTTCTCGAGTTATCAGCACCGCACTGATAACAAGTAGCTCTGAAGTTCCACTTTCTTTTTCATGGGGGAGGTGGGGAATGATGATACGCCAGGTGCAGGCAGAACACGGTGCAGTTTTAGAAATTGCATCTTAAGCCACAACCGCAGTGTCGATCCCGTGCAAGTGTGCGAACTTGCACGCGCCGCCGTACTTGCAAATCATTCCGTTGGGGCACATGTGACCCTTGACGCAGAGAAGGGTGTTACAAGCGGACCCTTGCGGGCAAGGCTGGGTCCGAGATAAATACAGCAGCGCCGCGTATTCTCCGTCGTTTAGTCGTGAATTGTGGTCATAATCACAATCGTTCTTTAGGCAGTTGTTAGTGAGATAGTGTGAGTTGCACAGACGCTTATTCCGGTCTCGAATCCCATTCAGGGTGGATGGGTGCACGGCCAATCCTTCGGGAAGATCGATCCGTTGGTTGTTGGCGTTGCGCAAGATTTTACCAACGCTGTTATTGGGGATGAGCAGGTGGAGACGGGTATCTGGTGTCTGCGTGTCTTCATCGACAGGGCGATGGGCCTGGGAGGAATCCGGTATCGCCGGTGAGGGTAACGTTCGTGCAAACACAGGGTTCTGTCGTATCCAGGTGGCATTCCCTGGGGGTGGATTGCCCGTTCGCTTCACCCAGGCCTCCTGTAAATTGGTTCGTCAGCGTCATTGCACGACGCTATGGGCGAAACACTCACCACAGCCCTCTTGATGATATCCTTGCTCCTGAGGAACCATTCGTCTTCTTCGCTCTTGCCCCAGAAGTCGGGGGTCAATCGTAGCGCCAGCTCCACATCGTGTTTGACATGGCCGAAGTCCAGTCCTCGGGAAGACTGGTTTAGACGTCTAGTAGTGCTGTCGATGAGAGCGGCTTCGATTTCACTTCGTGACGGACGCGCTCCAGATGTCGACGACAGGGTCGAATTCGGGAAATCGAGTCGTGAAGGTGACTCGTGCTGCGAATCCATGTCGCCATCATTTTCACCTCGGGGTAGGTGATTTCCACCTTCAGGGCTAATGGTGGTGTACCAAGTCCCAGTTACTGTAGTTTCGTTCCCAGGGGCATCGATAGCACCGAACCTTGCGGCGGGCTTGGATCGCCACGGGAGAGTGAAATCATTGTGGCCACTTAGCTGTGACTCTTTCTCACGAGCTTGGTCGAATCCGATACTTCGACGCCCATGATTCCGCGGCATTGACACATCAGCCAGGGCTTCGCCCCGGAAGATGTTGGTGAACTCGGTCGATCGCAATTTGGGCAGAATACTCGCAAATTCAGTGGCAAACGGAAGCCCTTTAAGCAGTATAATGCGGGACAAGATCTCTGTGTCGATCAAGAATGAGCCCAGGAAGGACGCAAAGCCATTGTCCGCAGAAGCACCAAATATGATGTGTTTACAATGGGCATTGTAAACGTAGAGATTTAGATTGTCTGCGTCGACCGGTTAGACACGATCGAGCGGAGAGGTCTCTTCTGGTGGACGCACCTTTTAACTTTGAATCGGCCGCCTCTTTATGATTTCCGGCATCGATAAAATCACATAATGGATGTGCTTTATTGAACCCCAGTACGAAATCTGTGAATACGGAGGTGGTTTTTAGGATGCCCTTCTCGGCGTAAGCGTGACTGAGGCCTCTCAAATTGGCATAGACTCGAATGACAATCTTATGGTCGTGCTTGAAGTTGTCGTCGTAGCGCATGTAGTCAAAGACGGCCTTTCGGAGTAACTTGGCTGCTTCGTCGCCACCAGCAATGCCTTTCTTAACCAGCTCATCTAAGAACTGGGCGGAAGTCAGCCTCGGAAAGCATGTGAACAGGGGGGATACAGGGTTGATTTGTAGAGTTTGGGAGGGTGGTGTACTAGCATGCAGTCGCCGTCTATTAGCACCATGATAAATGCGTTTCGGTCCATCGTCTTTTGCATGTCATCCAGCTTTTGGACCAAGTCATCGAACAGAGAATTGCGAGCATGATCTGCCCGCCTCACGTCGATGATCCGCCTGCGAAGGACATCCATAACTAACGTCTCTAAAGGCAAATTGCCCTACTCCGGTGCGTAGTGAGTTCCTTCGGAGTGTAGCTTGATGGATTGTTGATCGAATAAATCCCACCGTCGAGTCATTCTGGCCCTGAATTGGCGGGGCACATGGAATGCCGCGGAAAATTAGAGAAGGCGATCCTCGCTGGGGGACTTTCGGTGATTGGGCGCTGAGTGATCGAAACGTGCGCAGCCAACCAAGAGGTGTCCAACCTACCTCAGTATCTTACCCCCTACGATTGCACCAGCCACGCACTCCCGTGGGGTGCAATTGGCATCCAAGCGGGCCGGTCGCGGCTGCAGCCTTCGGCCTACCCGTGCGCGACAGCCCCTCCATACGCTTCAACATCGACTTCACCTTCGTCACTGCCGTCGACATCTCGTCCGTTATCCCTGTGTAGCGCTCTCATCGAAGCTATGCATTTGAGGGAGTCTGTCAAGAAATGGCAGAGGCTCCTTCGCAGACCGTGGCAAAGTTGTCCCAACCCATCCGAGGCATATTGCACATCGGCGGACGCCCGCGTTGCCAGCCTCCCCATACATTTTGTATGGAACCCCAAACCCTAGCACCCTTATTCTCTGTAGAACCGCGTCGCCTTTCCCATTTCAGCATCGCTGATTCTCCTCAGAATGGCGCCGCGTTTCCACCACAAGACGACACGCTTCCACTAATGGCTGAGCCGTCTACTACTGATGTTGCCTTCCTTCGTGCTCTTGGTCTCTGTATTAGCATCCCAGAACGAATCCTAATCTGCACCCATGACTCGTGTGGCTACGCCATCCAACGGCCTGAAGAGCGCGCCCGTCGCCATTTATGAGAAGCATGAGATTCCCAAGGCATCACGTCGTGGTCTGGATTCTATTATTAAAGCTTTGGGGCTTTCGAACCCTTGTCTGATCCCTCCTCGACCCAATGGATCGTCTCCACACCCTCACCTAAAGCTCTTTTCTGGTTATGCTTGTCGACTGTGCGGAGATCTGACCACAAGTTCCAAGCTTCACCAACAACACCAATGTTTGTCTGCTAGCACCACCTCCGACCCAACAGACAATGAATATACCACTGAGGAAGTTTTCCTCCAAAGTTGGGTCCAAGAGGGGGCTCGAACGTACTGGACTGTAAATATGGATCATTCTGATGCAGCCGCTTCTGAGCAAGCGTCATCTTCCAATCCTCATACTCGATCAGAAACTGTCATTCCTCGATTGGAACAGCTTTGTCAATCAGAGCGAAACCGCGTCGCAGAATTCCAGCAATCGACCAGAGATGACGAATTACCCGACTTGACAGCGACCAGTCCATGGTTTCAACGGACTCAATGGCTGTCAACTTATCGTGGAGCTGATCGAGGCGTTCTCGTCAGGATGGCCACCCTGCCAAATACGAATTCTCAAACAGTGGGTCGCTATTTAGGGATGTATAACGGTACTCGCCTTGAGTTGTCAGCGCGTAATGAGCAACGCATTAGCACGGTTCTTCGCGCTGTGGAAGAGCTCTACGGGCGTTTTGAAGAGACTGTCCAACACACTGCTCGAGGGATTTTGTGCAAGGTCTATTCCCAGGCTCTCCACGCCGGCGCCTAGAGACCTTTCCGGCTCGTCCAGCGGCACAGCAGGCATGCCAGCTACATCCGGGTGGTGAAGAAGTTTTTCTCCTTCCTTCTTGCAGCGTACTTGATCGACGACGTTATCTGTCATTCCGTCTTGAAGTTTCGTCTCACTTCCTTCCAAAGGACCGCCATTGGTCGACTTTGGAATGATTCTTGCTGGGCTGCCCTGGCGTTGGCACTTCCGCAGTCACAGTCCGGGTCGGCAGGAGGGGATGACTTTGAGGAGCAGATGCTTGATGACGATCTGAATGACGAGGAGGGTGAAGAAGGTGAAGAAGGTGAAGAAGGTGAAGAAGGTGAAGAAG